TTCTTATTCAGGGATTAAAAAGATTTATAACAATCCGACACACATTCCATCGAAATTGTATGCACAATATTTTAACGAAGATCGACTAATCGAAGCGTCATAGTGGAAGCTCGGTCTAAAATCGTGCTCGGGGGAACAAACGTTCTCCGTAAACACTGGAGATTCCAGGATGGGTGGCGCGCGGGAGAGGAGGAGGGGGGAGGGGGAGGGGCGCGCGCCCCCCCGAGAGTGCTGATATCCCCGGGAGTTTCTCTGATAAATTGCACTCGAAACGTAGCAGTCGATCCCTCGGAAGTGTCAGCGGTGTCGGTTGAATCGAATGAAAAGAAAGCAGCGATAACTCGATTATCAGGGACCCAGATAAATAGACGGTGGCCAATGCGACTTAACCGAGAATGAGTGCTCGCCCACTCGAACACATCGAATGTCCGGAAGCTGCATTACAGAACTATGTATCTTCCGGTGTCGTTCTTATTGTTGCAGTCGCTCCATTTGCCAACTTCTCGTACGTACATAGTACCAAAAGCAGCATTACGTTACATCTTACTTGTACTTTGCATTGCTAGCACATCTGTCCAATCGCAAAGGCTTAGAAAATGTATTTTTTATTATTATCTTTACACCCCTTTACTGCATTACCTCTCGATTCTCGCACGATAAACTAAAAATCGTTGCAGCAAGTATTTGCCCCCCCCCCCCCGAAAAAAAAAAAAATACTAAAAGACCCCCTGGTGTACGATACTTGCATCCACCATCGCGAAACAATTCTCGGTACGAAAGAATCGAGACATCGACGAGAACGTGGGAAGGAGAGGGGGCGGACCATCGTCGAAGGAAAAAGGTAAACCCAGAATGGAAGGGAAACGCTGAATGTCGAGTTTTCAATCTGCCATTCTATCATTGACAATTTCGCGCAAATGGGATCACGGTGCAAGGGCGTCGAGGCGTGATCTCGGCGCACATTGGCGTTAAATAAGAGTAACCCGGCCGGCGCGGCGCCACGGCATAATTGCCTGTGAAATCACTAGATGGATTTTGCCTCCTTGTTCTGCATTTCCATCCTGTATTTTTGCAACGGCCCCCGCAAACCAGCCGGCGGCCGCGTAATTTCTGGGATCGAATTGCGGCCAACGTCGCGAAATTGTTTCGCATCAAGAGCCGCGAATGTGATTCGCACCGGCGGCGACCATTTTCCAATTTTCGCGCTGAAATTTCTCTAATCGCAACGCTCGACAAAGGAGAGGGGACAAGAATAGTTTCCACGAGGACTACTGGCGATATCGAGGACACTTCTTTTTTTTTTTTTAAGAAGAGAAATGCAGAGAAAAAATTAAGTGTAATGTGTTATTCATTCCCAAGTACTATTTTGTTGTTGTTGTATGTTCTTGATTCATGGTAAAATACTTCGTGTATCAATTGAGTAATAGAACGGGAGGACCAATAGGATGCAACTCGGACGTATTATTTTTCTAGGTTAATTAAGACCAGCGAATAAGTTTTTTATTACTATTATATAGTATGTGTTTTTAATGGATATTCAAGTATATAAACTTTACTATCAGAACGTTAGGTGAATGATTTTTAACAACTGTGCAGGTACGAGAAGTTGGCTAGCAGGTTTGATAACACTGTAATTTCATGAGTTATACTATAAAATTTTGTAGTATAACCCTTTGCGGTCCAGACTTTCTCATTTCGGTATATTCTTGTCGAGCCTCACTCGACATAGAATTCCAAAGGTTTAAGAAGATTGTTATCAATCAGACCCACATTCTTTCTTTAAAACGCAATCTTATCGATTAATAACTGAAATAATAAGAAGTGAAAGATTGCGATCGTCAGATTGCAAATAGTAAATCTATACTATGAAGAAAATAATGATCGGAATTCTATCGATGAAAGCTCAGAGTAAGGTTTATAAACTGATACAAAGTTGAAATTCATTGCAAAATGCACTTTGTCCCGGTCCAATTTCGCTTTATTACGGAAGAATAATCGAAACACGCGAAATCCTTGGAGGAAGTCCTTTTCTTCCGCGCAGCCTCCGCCACAAAGGTGGACTCGTACTTTGACCAGAGAAATGCATTTCCACGATTCGGTAATCGCCTTACCGTGGCACCGGCCCCCGTTTCTGCCTTATCTTGTAGCGACCGCGAGATAGAGAGGAACGGAATGGGAAACGTAGAGAAAGGGTGCGTCTGAGGGTGGTACACCACCCCTAAAAATAGATTCGTTAACAATACGTAGGTACCTTCGAGAGAGAAGTCGAAACGACTAAGGAGTCGAAGCTAAACTAAATGACTAGGTGACTAGATGATAAATTAATACGAAAATGCTTGAAGTGGTAGCCGAAAAGACAACCCTCCCTTCAAGAAGTGAAGATGGTGCACGATTTTGTCTACAGGATTTCTTAAGAAGTCTTTAAAAGCTTAACTGTGACTCAATATAACGTGTGATATGTAACACGAAGAAAATCCTTAGTCCTTAAATGCCCTAAGTTTCAAATGCTCTAAGGTTTGTTTTTAATATTTAGCGTATGTTACCATTGCATAATGTACTTTTGAGCAAAAGTTACAAAAATTAACGTCAGCTGTCTAAATTGTTGAAATAAGATACGTTGATATTTTTGTAAATTTAATTTGGAAAATCAGGCTTCTAAGGGTAAATTTCTCGCCAATTCTACTTACGGAGTTCGTTATCCGTTTGCACTCGGGAGGTGACTCTCAGTCGCCATTAGGTTTCACGCAGGAAATCTAGAATACCTAATGTTTCTTTAGGTTTAATTTCTTTTAAGCTCGAAGTGTCGATAAAATGATTGTCGGTGAGGTAAAGGTGACCTTATTCTCAAATCTAGATAGCTTAGAATTCATGGCAATGCTAAGTAACATCTCGAGTTGCTGGTAGATACCAGAAAAAAAAGCCTCCAATGCAAAGGGTTAATCGTCGCAAATGATGGTTTCGACGAATCGCCGATGAACCGAGTCCGCGTTACGTCGGAAGGACAAAACCCAGGCGACAATCAATCGCGTAGAAGAGCGGCTGGAAGAAAGGCGAAGACGAAAATGCCAGCAGCCGTAACAGCCGCGGGTCTGCTTAGCATAAAAATGGCCAATTATCCGGCTAACAAGCCGACCGAGCGACGAAAACCCTGGAGTAACGCCGGGGCTGGGCCGTTCCTAACTCCGTTAGCGCCTCGCCTCCTGAAGAAGATTAGTTAGCGTAAATGCCGTCGGTTGTAGCATTTTTATTCCTGATTACCATTTCTCGTCGCGCTAATCTCGTTACCTTGACATTCGAAAACTTGACTGCGCCGTCTCACCGACTCTCGTTTCCACCGCTTTTCTTCGACGCCGCGGAAGGTGGAGGAACCCTGCGAGCCTGAGGAACGCGGAGGCGAAGAAGCATCGGTCTCCGCGTTCGAAGGATACACGACAATGCCCCCATGATTTCCACGGTGCTGAATGCCATCCTAATTCTTCTGGGTAATAATCGCGAGTGCAAGTTTGTTTGCCTTCGCGTTTACCCTGGTCTGCTGTGTGGAATCTTTTCCGGAGGGGTCGATGGAAGGCGCGAAAGCGGTGGTTGAAAAGTAGGAAATTCTCTTGTTATATTTCACGCACGGTGGATAGTATTATTTATACGTTCAAGACAAATTTATTTTCTCGATGTGTTTTCTTAAAGTGCTTTCCAATATTCGTATAATTATTCTGGTTTATAGCAACACGAACAACGAAGATGTATCTCGATGTTTGCGTTTCGGATAATCAGAATGAACAGGGGCAACCACGAAGAAACCTTTTCTGAAAAAGTATAATATTATACATCATTTATTTCGATTATTTCGTTACGAATAAACTATGTATAGTCCGGTAATACGAACAAACGTGTATGCAATGCTGCGTAAAAAAATTCCTTATGAATTTAAAGAAAAGAATATTCAAACGAATACAGAAAAATTGACGCTCTTAAATGCGCCACCGGCAGTGATCACCTTAAACGCGAAAAGTTCGAAGGAGCTTTCCTTTCGCTTAAAAGAAATTCGCGAGAATTTCCGTTTCAAAAGCGGAGGACAGCCTCGAATAAGAGGAGGAAGATGATCAACGTCGGTACTCCCGCGACGATATAATTTCTTTGGACTCTACTTATCCAACCCACGAAACTATAAACCAGAAACACATGTCGGCGTCGCGGGGTGCGGGAGGGGGCCGGTTAGAGGGGGTTGGGTTGGTTAACCAAGCCGAGGCAGCCGAAAGCTAGAGGCGGATGTCGCGCCGAGGCAAAGTTAAATTAAATCACGGGCGAAGGCAGCTAATATTGTAGTTTATCTGGCGGGACATTAGCGCGGTGAAATATGCGCCTCCTTCGCCCCGAACTTAAAATCAAGATCCACCGAAGTTCAGAGCTCCGCTCTTCTGCGAGATCCCTCTCCCCCCCGTTCGCGTCTCGCGGGCGCGAGCTCGCGTCCTTCCTGCTAAGTCGCGCATGAAAATACTAATTATTATACCGATTATTAATACGAAAAGTTCCGTGCCCCCGCGCTGTTAAGCTACGCGGAGGCTGAGTTTCTTGAGAGACGCAGGCATCCGGATTACGCTTATACTCGGCTAAACGAGGAAAACTGGGGCCCCTCGAGTTTCGCGTCTAGGATCAGCAGGTACCGCGTGCACGTAAGAAAATGAAAATGAGAATGACGCGGCAGGAAAGTCGCGAGACGGGACTTTTTGATGAATGGACAATTGGAAGATGGACTGGATTTTTCGTGGGTAAGATTGTATAGGGTGTCATTGATGCTTTAACGGCCTCGAGAGATCATCGAGTAGCTAGTTTATGGAAGTGGAGGAATCGTAGAACCACGAGCCGGTTGTCCGTATTGCGTTTTTTAAATTGTATCTGACAACAATTTTACTTTAAGTTTAGTCCGATAGAATTTATGACTAATTTTATTTCAGACGAATGAATAAAAGTATCAGTCACTTGTTCTCTGAATAGGTAAAATGAAACACGTTCAATATCAAAAGTATTCTCTTAATAATTTCGACGAGTTCAGTTAGAAAATTCTCCTACAAAATTATTTACCTTCCAATGTAGGTCCCGTTTAGAAACAAAATCACTTTTATTTCCACAGTATAAAAAACCCCTAATCCTACCACATACATTAATCCTTCAAACCAATCCACTATGTATCTATCCACCATAAATACATAAATGTAAAAACTCATGCCAAAGTAGCCTTCTGATTCTTCAGCATATCCTCCGTGAAGTTGTCGTTCCTCGCAAACCTGGCGTAACTGTAACAATAATAACACGTGAGTAAACAACCTAATCGAACATTTACAACGACCACTCACATCCTCTTGTACTTTTCCTTCTCAACGGTGGACAACGACGGCTGAGTGGACTTGACGGAATCGACGAGATGTCCTGGGAGGACTCTGATGTCCCCAGCCTCGATTTTTCCGTCCTGCAATCAGATTGGAAGATCGAAACGCATTAATTGCCGCTTCAAGCGCGAAACACCGCGCACGTCTCCCTATAGACATTATCGCTTATCACAAGGAGGACGCGTTTCTCTCCAAACGCGTCGCGCTCGGGGAAACTCGCTCGCTAATTAGACGCACAGTTTGGATATTCGTGTTCTTCCGGTAGGTAAGTGCCGACGTAACTTCGTTTTCTCCGTAGGAAGTTAATTAATAGTCCCCCTACTCACTCCACAAACGGCTGTACGCGTCGGGTCGATTACCGAGCGTCGAAACGTGGATGGCGGAATTTATCTTACCACAAAAGTGGGAATTCTAGGTTTCGATTTGTGTTCAATTTTATTCTTGTTCTAACTTTTCGATATTTTCGCAAGGCATACGCTGGTCCAAGGATTATAGAATCTGTTGATTGAAAGATTCCGCATGTTCTAAGAAAGGAAAACTATTGTAGGACTATTGTAGGAGGATTGTCTAATTCTGCTATTCAACCACTTTCCTGCAATAAAATACTTAAAAAAAAATAAACTTTGAGAAACACCGGTTTCTACGATTAACAGTGATCGAACATAAACCACCACATACTCGATAACTACAAAACACAATTCAGTGATCCCACTCCCCCTTTAAATATCAACACAACCACACCCCTCACCTTCCAATTTCCTAATTACTCAACATTCGTCTATCGTATGTAGTCACATCGAAAAAATCCCATCGAATGTATCTTAAAGTCACCGTGATCGTCTTACCCTGAAGTCGGAATAAAGAAGAAGGTATTCGACGTGTCGCAAGTCATTTTCGTCCGAGGACGAGACTACGGGTAATAAGGGAGTCTGCCTTTCGATTTTGCAGGACCGCTGCAGGCCCTAAACCGTGTATCATTATAACGCATAAGATAATAACCCCCTCGACGTTCAGCGAGGCGTAGGCCAGGATGAAGTGGAGCGAGATGGGGGATGGCTGGTGCTCTCGGCAGCGTGCGCTAATAAACCTGGTCTACGTTTCCTTAGTTATATCGCGCCACCTACCCACCTACCCTTATCATCATTACGCACTATCTTACTTCGGAAGCTCCCTACAAATGATTCTCGGCCGGAGTCGCGCTAAAATGATTTTCATTATTGCTGGAGAGAGATACACGACGACGAGAAGGGGAACGCAACAAAACGAAACGATCGTTAGGAACAGGGGAGCCAGATTTTCCAACCACCGCCAACGTGGATTTATTCTTTTCTGTTTCGGAGAAACTCGATCGAAGATCCGCGCCACCTTAGTCAACCTAAACGTAAACACGCCTTCGAGAATTTTTTTATCCGTTCAGGTGAAACGATCTTTTCACTAGCGAAGCATTTCCTGAACTTTGAAGAACAGGTTCTGTTAAGGAAAAGGGTAGATTGCTCTTCAGCGAAAGAAAAATTGCCTGTTTACTCACGGAAACTTTGGCGACTGCGTCTTCGTAAGCTGACAATCTGGCCTGTGTGATCACAGCATTCAAATCTGCCCCGGTGAATCCGGGAGTAAGCTCCGCCAATTCCTTTAAATCTAATTCAACCACGTCCACGTTCTGTGTTTTGCAGAGCGCGGCCAGAATCGCCTCTCTGTCCGTCTGCGCAATTATACAAATTACGAGATCGAATATTCGTTCGAAGAAGATATTTACACTGTATATTCGTCAAAGTATATAATATCGTTTCAATTTATATGTGACTTCTTCGTTTCTGAATAACAATTGCTTGGTTAGAATTTTCTCTATTTTAAAATATATTGAAAGCTGTACAGCCTCGCTCATAAATATGTGGACACTTACTACTTTCAATGAATATTTAATACACACCGTAAATTATTATTATGCAACTTTTGTTGCTAAATTCTATATTGGATGTGTATTTAACATTTAATAATATTAAATGTTTTGACTCCCATATTCAATTTTATACTAGAACTATGGGATTGTTTAGATAGAAAAGTTCAAAAATATTACAAAATAAATGAGTTAATATTATCCAAATTCGGTAAAAGAAATTTTAACATTATCTAATTACCTCTATAGTCTTTATCATTACTAATGTGATATTAGAAAAAACTATTAATAAAATATATTCGCTAATACAACATAAACATATCGAAAGATAAATGATATAATTGATATTAATAGATTCGCAACTTTTATTAGATATTTATTTCTATTAAGGAAGTGTCCACATACTTCTAAGCGGACGTGTATATGTTAAGAGTTTGATAAAGAATAAAATACGTAGATCTACATAATACGACATAAATAAACAAGTGTATGCGACAAGAATTCTCCACCATTCAATGTGGACAATTTCCAGTTGTATAATAGGAAGTATAATTAATTGTTTAAGAAACGTATACCGTGCATGGTAACGGACAGTACAACGCCTTATCGAGACGTCCAGGTCTCAGAAGAGCTGGATCCAACAAATCTGGCCTCGAAGATGCTGCGACCACCGCTACCCCTTCTCTGTCCTCCACGCCATCCATTTGCGTTAACAATTGGTTCACGACTCTATCCGTCACGCCGGTACTATCGTGGCCTCGTCTGAAATTAAATAAAATACAAGAATTTATTCTACCATCAATTATAATTAGTAAACGAACCACGTTGTTAGTTTCAGTGATCAACTCACCTGGGAGCGAGACTGTCGAATTCGTCGAAGAACAGTACGCACGGTTTAGCGCGGAAAGCTCTTGATAGTACAAAAAAATATTAGAATTATGCAATATCCACTGTCTCTCGATCTATACCGACAACAATGCGTACCTTTCAAACACGTTTCTAACAGACTCCTCGCTGACGCCGATATATTTCGATAGCAACTCTGGACCCTAGAATAGAAATCTCCAAGTGTATACACACATTCCTTTCCCGAATTAATGAACAATATTCAAAATTCTAGAACGTTACTCGAAGAGGTTTAATTTAAAAAAAAATTGAAAGTTTGCGTCCAGTATTAATTTTTCATTTAAAATCGAATATCTAATTTCTTTACTACTCCATGCATTTTCAATGTAGACGTCGCATCTGACTTTAAGATTACACGATTAAATTTTTACTTATATTTTGGCCGAATACCTTCACGCTAATTAAGTTGACGCCGCATTCGTTGGCGATCGCCTTGGCCAGCATCGTCTTCCCCGTTCCAGGCATCCCGTACAACAAGACGCCATTTTGTAGCTTAATCGGCGCGTTCTTAAATATCTCTGGATACTTCAACGGCCACTGTAGAATCTCGACGAGAGACTTTTTCACTTCTGCCAGTCCCCCTATATCCGACCAAACGTGGCTCCCGCCTTTGTACAATTGTATGCCTTGCAAAGACATCGGCGTACAATTCTTCATGGCAATCGACACGTCCTCTTCCGTGATAACGACAGGCGGCCTCGAGGCTCCTTTTATTCCCGGCGAATCAACAATGATACGATTGTCAGCGGGCGCTTATTGCCAAGATAAAATTTCAATCGACTACTGTAACCCCAATTCGCCCCGAAAGAACGCGTGTATTCAGATGGATGTTCATAGGATGATGATTCTTACTGAGTTTACTCGCACGATTATCTCTGCGGCTCGAGGACACGTAGAAGAAATTCTTTATATTATTATTACGAGGTTTGCAATAAATAGTTTTATAGTAAGATGCTTCTTGGATTCAAATTCCTTTTAACATTCATTTTAACATTCAAATTCCAAATTGGATACAAGTAAAGAAATTGAAAACACGCTTCCGCACGCTTGCTACTATTCTAATCGAAAAAGCACTCGTCACAGGCGTGTTGTATAGCGATAGATATTTTATTTAACACGAAATAGCTGCCTTTTGATTTGATTTACTTTAAGAGATTCAGTTACCTGTACGCTTCCAAGCAGCGAACGCAGCTTTCTCAGCCATATCCACCAGGTCCTGAACCATCCATCCCTCGGTCTTGTTTCCATAGTAATCCCAATTCACGTCTACGGGCACGTACAACTTGTCCCCGAGCATTAATTGCAAAATATCGATTCTGTGCACCTGATTAGAGAGCACGGGTTACACCGGTAAACAGAACTCGTACAATAACGCAGACACGTTGCCGTACGCTAATCTGTCTAATAGTTGGCTCGATGGGTTCCTAACAGTCTGAGCCAATTCCTGCCCCGAAGGGGTGAGTCACCTGACGTTACAGCGTGAAACGTTCTCGTTCGGTTTAACGAGGGTGGAAGACACTTCCACGGGACATTTAATACGATAATAAGCATTCATTTTACGTGAAATATGTGAAATATCTAGGCAAAAGTGTTTATGTGTTCGAGAAAATATTTGAGATGAATTCTTACAGTCAAATTCTGTAATCAAAAACGATGTAAACGTCGCAGGTTCTAATGTTAGGTAACGTATTCTATATAGAGTATACTTCGAACAATTGAATACGAGGTGATGTTACATATAAAAATAAATCCAAAGCATGAAATAGAATTTTTTCTTGAGAGGCTTCCATTTTGAGAAAATAAATTTGTAATTTATTAGGAGGTTGCATTGCATTCTTTAGGGGTTGAATTTCGAAATATCCTTTCTTATTTCTTGCCTCTGTGCAAAATTTCAGCTTTCTAGGTCCAAGGCTTTAACCTGGGCGTTGATGAGTCAGTGAGTCAGGGCTTTCATTCTTATATATATATATAGATTAACCTTATAATTGCGCGAAATTTCACCCCGGTTTTCCCACAATTTCCAAGGTTCCACTATAACTACGTAAATACCTTATCAAGATTCGGTATCGACAAAACCGTCCTAAAGAAATTAGATCCCCTAGCTGGCCTTAATTTCTGGCCTAGCTTGTTAACGCCAGCACACGTCGCGACGACTGATATGCAATGAGATTCTTGATACTGCGTCACAGTGTTAACCAGCATGTCCACGATTCTGATAACAGTAAAGAGTGAAATAAAATAACTTTTGGAAAAAAAAATATACACGTCGAATTGAGTAACCTTCTTCTTTTCGAAGTCGGTTAAAAATTTATAATTTGATAAATAACGCGAAGAAAATGGAACATAAAAAATACCTAGCGGCATTCATAGCATCCGGGGTATTTTCTTCGTCGTTCGTCGACGCGTTCGTGATCGATTCCAAATCGTCCAGAAACAATACAGAGGGTTGGTAGTAAACACACTCTGTCAGGACGGTGGTCACAAATTTTTGAAACATCTCAGCCTTTTTACCTAGGAAGAATCAAAGGAAGGAATTAAAGGAATTAATCAAAAGAATGTTAGATTGAATTTTCCATTAAATCTCCATTTAAAAGGATTACCTTTCAACGATCTACAGTCGATCATGTTGGTGTGGACGAAATACGGCGCGTTTCGCAAGTATTGGACGAGTATTTTGCAGATGGTAGTTTTGCCGGAGCCAACGTCTCCGCAAATTAAAATGTTCTCTCGATCGTATTCGAATCCTAATCGCTTGCGCAGGCCTAGACTCAGATCGAGCGAAAGCTTGCATTCCGTTAGAGTATTCTCCAAGTGTCTGAAACGCAAAACATTCGATCAACCGGATCATTACGAAAAGTGGGTGAAAAAGAAGAAATTTTTGTTTGAATGTTTTCTCATAAATTCGTAGCGAGGTCGTTAAATAGTCAATCTCGTTTCATAAATTCGTAACTTTCGATAGAAAAGCGTTATTTTTAAAAATCTGACGGCAAAATAAAGTCAAAGGTCCATATTTTTAAGGAAAATAGTTGTAAAAACGAATGCTTACGTTACGCTAATCTTCTCCACCCGAGGAACCTCCTGATCCAACTGCTCGGGTAATCGCAGATGGCTCCTCTCGCTCACCGATCTCGAATGTACCCGTAATCCCTTCAAAACGGCCTCGTCTATCGCGGCCACCGTGCAATTCTCCGGCGAAATTTTCACCACGCACATACTACCATCGTCCATAACGACGGCGGAGCAAGAATTGATAAGCAACTCGTGGCGAGTCGCAAGCGTCCTGACGTAACCCTCGAACTTCTCCGTGGACACCGAGTCTCTCCATGAAAACAGCTCGACGGAGGATGGAGCGACTTCCTGAGGAGATTCTACCTGCCACAGGCTCACCTTTCCTCCAATTCTCAAACCCAACGTGATCCTCAAACTATCCGACACGTACACACGTCTGTGAAGCAGATCGGTGTCGAAGTGGTCTCTGTCCAAATTGGAGGACTTCTCTAATAGATCCTCGAGGATGAACAGTCTGACGATTAATTTCTCGGCCAACTTCGGCACAGGAGACTCGTCGTTCACGAGGAAGCTGGTGCTGGTCATGTTTGCGTATTGTTTCATCTCTGGCACCTTCTTCGCGCCACAGATCGCGAAATCATCCGCGAAATTTTCCGCGAATCTCGGCGCCTGGCTCCTCGGAACGAACACGTGATAAGGACAACGCGCGATCACGTCAACGTCCTCGTCGTCGAAGGTAATCCTTGGCATCGGGTGAACACGGTATATAGCTGGTTCCTTCTTGTCTCGAAAGCTCTGCACTAGCTCGTAGTTTCTAGCTGACCTATTCTCTTGTGTCCTCTCGTCGACTTGGTCCATTGCAAATGGCAGAAACCTTTTGAGAACGGCGTGAAGGTTGTCTACGATTTTTGAGGAGCTTTCGTAGTCCTTCCTGGAAACGTCTTTGCTCGAATTCATCATTGCATCTCCTACGTGGACCTCGGTGAACTGCTCAAGCCTTCCGTACCTGAGACTCGGCTCCAGAGATTCTGTGAGGAGAAAGGAAGTTTGGTTTGTTTGGGTTGCTGATCTTTATTTTAATTTAATTTAATTTACTGCTCCTTTTAGCAGTTTAGATGAGACTTTTAGATACATGTTACATGCTACGAAATGCTTCCGACTTGCCTACGATAAATGTCACAGAGGAGAACTTCGAAACCCACGCGACGATGGGTTGACCCACCACTACCACGCGTATTTGATTTAGCAACGTCGACTGCACTCTGTCCATTTGAACTTCCTGCAAAACAGCCTCAGTTTCATTTTGCATTCCATGTCAAGCAGAACGTTTAGCTTCTGCGTGATAATGGAAGCGATACGTGTAAATTATTAATTATTCGATGGAAAATTCAATTCCACATCGTAAAGTCCACATCCTAAAGTAATATTATCCGGAAATTATCCTACCAAAATTTCCCTATCGTCCGCAGTGCGTGGTACAACATTGGCTCGCGTTAAGGGTTGCACGTCTTTCACGGAAGACACAAACACTTCGTCCCCTTCCGAGATGCTCAGACTTCTGGCAAACGTTGCACCGAAACATAGCGTATCGCTGGAATTTCCACCTGCATTGCAGGACGCGTAATACGTTTTACCATTGTGCTCTATTTTAATTACATTCTCCTGGAATTGAAAAAGGAAATTTTCAGAAAACCTGATGGAATCAAATTGTGTAACGCCTAGCTGTTGCGTTTATTTCGTGAGGGAGATTTTACGTTATACAATTGGAAGCTATTCAAATAGTTTTAGTGTCGATTGGAAGAGAATTATTAAAGATGAAGATATTGCAAGAAAAAACGTACACAGTATTCGGCTACGGATAAGAGAATATAGGGGTTGATTCTACACGTCAAAATTAGTTTATAATCAAGAATGACGAAATTGCGGTTGAGACCACGTTTCGAAATTATTAATTATTGTGCTTGCTTCAGTTATTGCACTGAATCCATACATCGCGATACAATTATTTCCATTTTTCTTAAAACTCCTTAATTTTAGGGGTTGTTTTAGTTTTTGCTATTATACTCGCATCTCGCTCGATTCATGGGACACGTGACAGTATCGCCATCTCGCGGTCAACAGGCCGAACTAATTTTTAAAAGATATATTCTTTTTCACCTGTAATATCCGATTTTCCGTATAATTAACTTAAAGTAAAATTAAATACTAAGTGTATGAAATAATAAAATGGTTAGGGGATGTGTAATTATGTCAAATTTATTAATTTTATGAATAATTATTTAATGCAGCATTCATTATCGGCTCTGTATATTAGTGGCGCCATCGGTGAGAAAAGACCCAAGTTTGTAGTGAAACTAGTTCTCACCGTTTCTGTAAGATGGCGCCACTGATGCATTTCAATCAATTATTCTTTATTTATCAGGAATGCAAAGTTAATACAATTCTTTGCTTTATAACAATACATTATGCTAGTTAATATATCAAATTTATCGTTTGTATAAATAGATATTTATTCCTGTATTAATTATCGACCCTATACTTCATAGCGCCATCTTAAAGAAACAGTGGGACCTATTTTCACTACAAACTTATGTGTTCTCCCACCGATGGCGTCACTAGTACTAAGACACGCTCAAAGAGCGGCTTAGTGAGCGGTTGCCTTTCTGGATGCACCCACTGTGAATATACGTGCTCGATTACGACAAGTATACAACACTAACCTTAGTTTCCAATTTACGTAGCCAGGTGTCCGGCAAATAGACAAAACAGTTGTTCACTGTTATATACTTAACTACTAGACGTTCACTTTGCATTCTCGATTGTCCATATAAAACACAAAAGAATTAAACCGGAACTCGGAATGCTGTACACCGTGATGCACACGCACGAAGAAAATTTAGAATAAATTCGGTATGTGAGAAACTTTCACGATGTGCAAACGAGGATCATGTTTAGTTATATTAACGATTTATGGCGAATCAAAACGTTTCCCTCGAGAATTTTTGTCGTCGCGCAGCTAATTCCCGAAATTTGTTACCTTGGCTTTCAAGCATGCTAATACTTTGCTTTCAAGTGAACGACTAAATACAGATCAAAGGTTAATTCTTTATTTAAAATGTTGAATATGTGCTGTTCGTGTAATGCTCATAAACAGTACGACCATGATATACAATAAATCAATTAACAAGCAATTTCTTGGATCATATACGTTATACAGTTGATTCGGAGTAACGTGTGAACCTGCTGTATGATTATACGAAACGATGATTTATTTCGCTCTCGCGAGACTCCATAATTCAGTGATACAAAATTCAACAATGCATCTCCTATAAATGACATACGATACCTAGTTACTAAATAACATAATTATTCGAATTCTTAAATTCGATTTGCGCATGAAAATAATCGCCATTAATCATATAAAATACTTGAAACTAAACGATAGTTTGAATAAACTCGGTGTAAAGTGGTGAAAAGGAGCAGTGTTTGATGTTGGAAATTTTGTCGATAGGTGGCGTATAGAGATTTTACCTAACTTTCGATTGGTTTTCCCAAATTGAAGCGAACCAACCAGAGAACGAACTAATACTAACTGTGATATTTTGAACCAGCGTCAACTTCAGTTGCCCTGGCTAGCTCGAATGGAGATCGTATTAACGTACTAGTGGCACAAGAGTTTCATAAATGAGAGATTCCAACGTATCAGAATTCGCAAAATAATTATCAAGTCACCCAGGTAAATCAGAGTAATTCGTTCAACATTCGAGAATGCAACTTTTCGTGTAAATAATTAATATACGATCCAAGTAAATCAGTGAAAGTTGTAGATTGTTTTCACGACTGTCTTTATGGCTGACCCGACAAATTTCTATTTCCTGTCCCTTTTATTGCTGCCTTTTATTCGTAACAATAATTTTAACAGCTCTATCGATGGTTTTTAATATTCGTGAAAAAGCGTGATTTCGTGTTCCTTGTAACGATGCGTCCTTGACTTATGTTCCCGCGTTTTTTCCTCTGTAAATATACCATGCCATGAATCAAGTCGGCGAGTGAATCCGTGTTTAGAGAAATTGGCCGAATTCTTTCGATTTCTAACAGAAAGTGCTCACAATTCTACAAAAACTCGATTGTACAGCTTAATGGCGTACAGAAAGATACTTAGCAGGACAAAATACGAACGAATTTTCCTGAAATATTAATTTCATCTTCCTCGTTGTTGGACGGCCACATACACGCGACATACGGATGGTTCAATTGTACGTTCTGTTACAAAATAGTATAAGCCTCGCCAATGTGATGGTTTCGACACGTGTTGTGCTTTCTATTTTTTATATAGATATTATTTTGTTCGTATTCAATTTCCTTTTTTCATCACAAGTGGCTAATTGTTTCGAAATTAAATTTCATTTATTTCCTAGGCTAATAAGACAGCTAATTCTGTTTATTTGAGTATTTAAACGTCTCTATATTTAAAAGGAAAGACCATTGTTGTTGTTCAGACAGAAATTGAACTTCATTTGTCTCCAAAACAAATCACATACAGCCAAAAAACAATTTATTCCTTAAACAAATTAAAATATAACTTATTAATTGCTTTAAGAAGTTACATACAGTTTCATACTAAAAAAGGAGACTCAAGTAATCTTATTCTCAACTAATATTATTATTCTTCAAAACTTAAATGTTAATAAATTAAAAGTTCTTTATTTTTTCTTGTCTAGGGAAAGACCACAATTTTATTATTTAATTCTTTATGAGAATGGCACCATCCAAAGTTTTAAATGCACAAAATAAACAAACTAATACTAACATAGCTGGAAAAAAAGGAATAACAACAAGAAGTCAACATTCTGTGTTACCTAATGTTCTACACAAAGCATCTGGTCTTGGGAAAGATCCCCGCATCAAAAGAAAGGCAGAGGCATCACCGCCAAAGGAAAAAACTACAAAGAGATCTGCATTAGGAAATATTACTAATGTACGCATTGCTTAGGCATTTTCTTTTTCTAACATTATTTTTATAATGATTTTAATATGTTATAATATTACAGGCCATTGGAAAGACATTGGGAGGACATACACAAGAACCAAAGAAAGCTTTAAAAAGAACGACAGTTACTCAAATTAAACCCCTTGTTCAGACAAGTTCTGTTAGAACACTTGATAAACATGTTCCTAAACCAGAGGTAATACCTTCAAAACCAAAGCCAGTGCCACGAGTAAAACCAGTAAAAAAAGATGAAGAGAAAACGGAAGTATCTAGCAAAATTGTATGTCCAAAACGTAGTTTAGATTTAGAAAAATCAGATGACAGTTCTTTATATGTAAGTGCATTAGATGATGTAGGAGACGACACTGAAAAGAAATCTAGGAGGAGCAACATTCAAGTAAGAATTTTTGATGTTATAGCATATTTTTTATAATGTGATATCTGTTAAAGATTTACATTTAGATATAAGCAAATAAAATAATTACATCATATTAATGTATTTGAATGAATATTTTCATAGCCTGAGAAAATTGATAAAACAGAGAAGGAAAATGAAGCAAGTGAAGCTCTGACAAAAACTGAAGAGAAATCAATTGTTTCTCGTTTGAATGCTGCGCCTAAGAAAGTATTACCTGAGGGAGTTCAGTGGGATTTCGATGCAGAAAATTGGTTGGACCCGTTTCAAGTCTCTCACTATGCTATGGATATTTTTAATTATTTAAAAGACAGAGAACGCTTTTTTCCTATTGGAGATTACATGGAGAGACAAGTGTGTCTTTCACGATGGATGAGAGCGTTATTAATCGACTGGATGGTGGAAGTTCAAGAGTCTTTTGAATTGAATCATGAGACTTTGTATCTAGCTGTAAAACTAGTTGATTTATATTTGACGAAAGTAACGGTTGGAAAAGAAACGCTGCAATTGTTAGGTGCTGCAAGTCTCTTCATAGCGAGTAAATATGATGTTAGTATCAAACTTACTACTATTTCCTATTTGTAACAAATTTTTCTTTGTTATTCAATGTTATTGTGACTTTTGTAGGAACGAATACCTCCGATGGTAGAAGATTTTTTATATATATGTGACGGTGCTTACACGCAAAGAGAGTTAATTAGAATGGAAATGAGTGTTTTAAAAGTAGTAGATTTTGATCTTGGTATACCTCTTTCATACAGGTTTTTGAGACGATATGCTAGGGTGCGTTATTCCAATAAATTAATTCCATTTTATTATTTCTTTTCTTTCATGTAGTCTCCATTATATTGTATACCAAATTATAACATATTATTTTTAAACAGTGTGCAAAAGTTTCAATGCCGACGCTAACTTTAGCGCGATACATTCTGGAGTATTCACTGATGGATTATTCGACGATAATGTTTAGCGATAGTAAAATTGCTGCTGCTGCGCTCCTTCTTGCCCTGCAAATGAAAGATCTAGGAGGATGGACTCCAACCTTAGAATATTATAGTGGTTACAAAGTTGATGACATAAGGGATATTATAAATATTTTAAACCAAGGATTACATCGAAAGCACAAGGAAGCTCTGACCACAGTACGCAACAAATACAGCCATAAGTAAGTTTAAAAATATTATATTATTATCTTATTGAAAAATATAGTTATAATAAATTTATAACATGTTTATATTAACATCGAGATTTCACGAACATTTTCTTGTATTTTAGGATATTCTTTGAAGTAGCAAAGCTGCCATTAAAAGATACTTTAAATATATAAATAGTTTAAGGAAGAAAAAACCTAGGTATTCGAAAACATCATTGACAATAATATATAGGTTAGCCTAATTATTGTTAGGCAACCTGTAATGGAATTTAAAGTGATTAAAATGGTCGTCGGGCGTTAAAATACGAACCATAATGATCTTAATTTGTTGGATAATGAAATTGTAATAAGAACAAAATTCAATGACCGAATTTCATTTTCAACTTTATACACACTCAGAAATATGGTAAATACTACAATCTTTTTCCTTTGTTTTTAGTCCATTTTTTTCTAATTATTTATACAACATTAGTAATTTCTATACTACTCTACAATCTCAGTATTTATAAGTTATTTTAATTTTTTTTTTTTTTTTGTTGAGAAATTTATTTTAGCGCCACGCTTTTATACTTCACAAATAATTCTGATAAGAAATTGGTATATCCAAAATCTTTTTTTTATGCATGAAAAGATTGAGATTAATCTTTTAATTTTTTTTTTCTTTGCTATATATATATGTAGTACTATGGTACATTTTCATTGCCATAGTCTGAATTAGTACATATATACATATATAAATGAAATGAAAATTATGCGGCATCTCTGTTTTAACAAGCCGTGAGGAGAGTGTGGCGTATTGTTATGCATTGTTGTTGCACTTTATAGACTGATAATAAACTGTATGCTCCTAAGGTAGTTACATAAGATACCGGCGAACACAATAATATTTTATAATCATTGCTCCGTGTAAGATTGCCGGTATAAAAAAAGATTGTCTTCTACGCTATACAAACAAGGTAGCTTAAAAAAATTAATTTATATCGATAAATTCCATGATAATACAATACATTTTTATATTCAAATCTGTAAGTTGAAAGGAAAGTCACTTCTTATTAAATTTTACTCTTTATAAATTTTTATTTATTATCTTTAACCAGTTCGTTATTTGTATCTGATTGTAATGGAAAGTTCCAGTACTCAGACCCTACTTATGCCATAGTTAATATATAGTTGTGATTATTAATAAACATGACATAGGTTTCTTTACCAAGTACCACCTGTGATATGAATATATTCAAAATTTCGATATGACCGAACGTGTCAAAATTTTCTCACATGTAATATTTATGCAATTTCGTACGCAAACAAACTAGTTACATTATAACGTCTAGAACTTTTATCGAAAAAAAAAGATATATCTGATCCAGTAGGTAGTTGTATATACTTTTATAACAATTATCAATGTGTACATATTTCTAAAAATTAGTAGGACAAATTTAGAGCGACTTCTTTATAATGGAAACCATACGAATAAGAATACTATACAATTATAAGACTTACTGAAATCAAGTGGTGTATATAATGTCATAATATATTTTTTTTACTATCAGTGAATGTAGTACCTATTACATACTTTGTAAGTCGTGTGTACATGAGCAATTGTAAACAGAATGTAATTTAATAAAATTAAATAATGATTTTTAATCTTTTGTGCATAACCTAACTCTATATATTCTTTTGAAAAATTTGTTCGTAAATTAAACACTGCAAGTACATATATAAACTGTTTAAAACATTTTATTATAAACTTCGATTGCATTAACAATTTTTATAAATAAACAATACATTTAATTATAATGAGAACCAGGCACTATATTTACGACTATTAGTATAATGCTTTTTTAATAAAGGTAATACTTTTCAGGCCCGTTGTACTTAA